TGCAGATATTTATTATTACTTCACTGGTTCATAAAAAGCCCCAAACATAACATTTCTTAATCCACCTTTTAAATTTATCTAATACTTTTGCTATTAATACATATCAGTGCTGGTTTAAAAGAACTTAACGCTTTTGTGGAAGTGTGATATAGATATCTCTTAATCTTCGTATGACTATGTTCATGAATGAATCTACAGTAAACTAAAATGGGAAGACCGCATCTAAAACTTAAACTGGAAGATATCTTCACCTTACTTCATTGTGGACATGTCAAGGGCAAAGTAAAGTGAACAAACTCATGAGACACAATTTAGGAATTAGCTTTAAATTGAAAATTATTGTTACATCCTATTTCCCCTTCCTTTCAGGAGGTGCAGACATATGCTGGAGTGCAGTTCCAAAAGTATGAGCAATATTCAAGTATCAGATCAACTAATAGCAACGTAGAGGACATTACAGTGGAGCCACATCATTTTCCTAGTCATTATTAGCAAACTTTCTAGCTCCAGTCATTTGGTCAGATGTCGGATTTTGCTTTTCTTTCTCACCTCCAACCATAGTACTGAAGCATTCTGCAGCATTTCAATGATTGCTCAGGATGAAGTTAGGCAGCTCAAACCTGTGACCTGTCAAATTGTATAAGTACAAGACATCTTTTGATCATTCAAGAAACTACAGCTGAACATTTTTTTTAAAAATGTGCTCCAACTGATCCATAAAGTATGAAGCTAATAAGCAGAAGAAGATGCTTGCATATTTTCTCTCTAAATTTGTCTATTATCCCTCCCACATCTGCCATTCTGTACAGTGCAGGGATCATTTTTTTTTAAAAAACAACAAGGGATAGCTTAAACTTAGAGTTTTTCTAACCCAGATTTAAAGAAGCCCACTATTGTATTGCATTGCATACATTAATTCAAGAGAGCAAATTTCTGGTATCATGTTAATGAAAGTATATTTAACTCCTATGATTAGGTTGCTTTGGTGCATTAAAAAGTTTATGCAAACGTTAAAAGACGGATGCAAGTCTTCCAAAGAATGATGATTTTTCATGTATTTATTGTAACAGTGAATTAAGTTTACAGCAACAGATTTTCAGAGGTAGAAAATGAGGTGTATTAATAAGAATATTCACCCGGCAAGTTGAAAAACTTCAATAAGATTGTCATCCGTAAAGAACTTAAGATTCATAAACCCACTCTTCTAAACTCTATAACCTATGCTATGGTGTACTCATAATTCAAGTTGTTTAATTTAAATTGAAACAATGTCCTGAAAACATAAATCAAAATCAAAAGAAAACTGCTTCCAAATCTGTCAGCATCATTCATTAATTTAAAACCCTACAAAAAGACAGAAAGAGATAAGTGGAGATCGATTGGACTGCACAATTTTCCCAAAGCATAGGAAAATAAGGCAGAAAAATCATCTTAACGTCTGACAGTTGATATTTTTACTGCCAAGAAGAGTTTTTTTTTTTTAAATTGTTGCTTCACTTTAAGAATTGACTAATTTAAACTACTGGACAAGTTGAATGTTCCATCTAACAGATGGTGTAAATAACATTATGAAACTACCTTCAATAGTATTGAAAAGTAGATGCTGCATATGATGCTCACAAATCATTTCTATTATTCACCTGCAAATAATCCAAATGGTTCATCTACTAAGGGAGCAGCTTTCAGCAGAATTGACTCGCAACTGCTTACGGCAATGAAAATTCTTTCCATCAGAGGAGACAGCTGCTATGTCTATTAGCCAAGGATCTCTCACAGACTCAAACAGTACACCTTGGTGTCTGTTGGATTTGCCAATGGACATAGGTTTCCAGATTCAAAATTTTGTCATTGGGACAAACGTAACTGCGAATATACACAAGAGAAAACAAGGACCACGTCACTGAGTGCAATAAGCAAGCAGAGGTAAAGATATCTGGCTCCACCATAGAAACCAGGTCCAGTTCTGTGATATTTCAAAGGAAATTTTCCACAATGGAGCTTGTTGGAACATTTCTCTATACAACACAGAAGTGACAATTTATGAACGTATGGTTGGCAAGAAGCAGAATATAATCAGCTTGTTGCAAATGTCAAATTTGTATTGCATGTCTTCAGAATGTTCAAATTTTGCTAATGTGCTACAGCCTTATTATTTTAAATTATTTCTGCTTTCTGTAATAAAGCGTTTTGTTGAATTGTCTAGTTTGAACTACTGGATAAGTTGAATATTTTAAACATCAAAAATGCCAACTTACATTGATATAGTGCTCACAGCAGCTTTTTAAAACAAAGTACGATACTGAGGCACAAAAATTTGGGCTGATTAAAAACTTGTCAGAGAAAAGTTTTAAGTGATTTAAAAGGACACAAGCAAGGCAGAGAAGTGCATGGACGGCACAGTGATCAAAACTGGCAATGCATAAGAGACTAGAATTAGGGAATATAAATACCTTGGAAGATTCTGGAACTGAAAAGATAGAGAGGCTTGAGACATGGAGGGTTTTGAAAAGACAGGCTAGAATTTTTTAAAAAATGATATTGCTTGTCTGGGAGCGAAATGTGACCACAGGAGCAAATGGGGAACAAGACTTCCAGCAAATTGAGAGAACAGCAGCCGAGTTTGGATAATCTCATGTCCTCAGATGAGCGATATAGGGGACCAGCCAGGAGCGCATTGTAAGAGGCAAATCTAAAAGAAACAAATAAAACGGTACAAATGATGGTTTTGGAGCAGACGAGCTGAGACCAGGATGTAATTGAGTGATGTTAGAAGTAGAAATGTGCGATTTTAGTGATGACATGAATGAGTTTGGGAACTCATCATCTCAGGATGAAGTGTGACACCAAGGTTGTGAACAAACTGGCTTAATTTCATTGTTGCCATGGAGAGGAATGGAATTGGTAGCTTGAGAACAGAGTTTGGAGTTGAGCCTGAAAACAATGTCAGTCTTCTTAATATTGAATTTGAATAAATTTATGCTCATCCAGTCCTGGATATTGGATAAATAGTTTGAAAATTTAACCCTGTTTCTTGATTTCTCCACTGCTGTTGTGTTATCAACATTTGAAACTAACTGTTTTCGAATGATGTAACAGAGGGGTGGGATGTGAATGAGAAACAGGATATACAGAATTAACAATAGTAGATTGCGGTTAATTAATGCTGCATGCACGACTAGTAAGCAATTTTTCAACTGTACATTGGATTTAATTGGAGAAGTACAGCAAAAATTCAATATATTGAATTACACAGAACTAAATCACATCCCTTCCATATCCTTTAAAAGTTGTGGTTCTAAAAGGCAAAATATCCTAAGTACTTTTGTTCATGCATTGGGTGTTGTGCTCAATTGAGATTTTAACCAATTTCTCACCCATTTCTGAAAAGAACTGAATGGGAGTTTCTTTTTTAGATTATAGCACTGGTGACAAAACTACAGCAGTCAGTATTCAATAAAATATTCTAATTAATTAATTAGGAACAAAAAAGTTTCTTTTATTAAGCTAGTAGAGCTCAAAATTTTGGATCAGGAGAAACATATTTTCAGATTTTTGATATCCTGAATTTTTAAGCTAGATATACCACAACTATCCTTGAAAAGATACGTATACTGATATTTACATACATGTGTACTGAGCTAGTTTAACAAAATAATTCATAAGACACTGATGGGCTAACCAGGCATTTCGCTGTCCCTGTTTTCTGTGATAGAGATTATTGGAGAGAATCCTTTGCAATGATTTATTTTTTGTTTTGTTTGCTGGTCTATTATTTGTGCAAGTTTAGGTTGCTGGGAGCATTTAATCAGACTTTGGCTTTATTCCAGTTGTGGCAGAGATAATTTTCCTCACCAAAGAGTGTTAGAGATTGACTTGATTTTTTTTTTGAAACTATTTTATCTTAATTTAGGTTACTTCTATTACAGGGGAAGGGAAGAAAAGGGGTCATCATTACATGAGAAGATCTGTCGTTTCACAGCAGCAGTCTTGTATTCCCTTTGCACTGTATGGATCCTGGGTTAAAAGGGTATATTGATGGCCAATAAGTTGCATGGTCAAAACTGGTCTTTGTTCTGATTTGTTTCACATAAATGGGAGCAGAAAACAGGTGCAGTGAGAAAAGACCATAAACAGAGTATGGCTCAAAATGTATGATTTGATTAAGTTTAACTTCAGACGTTTTTTTTTTTAAAACTTAAAGAACAATAGTAGTCCATTCAGCGTACATGCTACAGTATTTGCAAGATCATGTCTAGGCTTAATGGATTGTTTTTAGTTTATTAAAATGTCCTCATGGGATGTAAGCATTGACAATGCAAGCATCTATTGGTCATCTCTAACTGCCCTGAAAAAAGTGGTGGTAAGTGCTCTTAAACCACTGAATTCCATAGGTACAGTATTTGTAGTTTAGGTACACCCATGATACTAGTATGAAGGAAGCTCCAGACTTTTGACCCAGCAATAGCAAAAGGACAGTGATATAGTTCAAAAGTCAGAATGATGTGCAACATGAACAAGAGCTTGCAGGTGATTTACAACTGTTTTGTTTCGCTTATGCATTCAACAAATTTAGAAACTTACATTGTCTAATGCTTCCTTGCCCTTACATTAGCTAAATCGCATTCCTCATGCTTCAAATTTCCTTCAACTACGACAGGAAATAACTGAAAATATCAGTCCCAGAAATGTCACAACCAACTGCATCTGTGACAGTATCGTTTCCTCATTTGGTGCCATCTATTCCTTTCTCATTCTATTGTTTTTCTCCTTGCATCCTTTATAAATACATAATTCACCTAAACTTCAAAGTCACTGTCTAACACATTCAATTTTCTAATAATTTTGTGTCTGAGAAGAGTTTTCTAACAAAAATAGAAGTTGCTGGAAAAGCTCAGCAGGGCTGGCAGCATCTGTGAAGGAAAAAAAATCAGAGTTAACATTGAGTCCGGTGACCCTTCCTCAGAACAGGAACTGAAATGTTAACTCTGATTTTTTTCCTTCACAGATGCTGCCAGACCTGCTGAGCCTTTCCAGCAACTTCGGTTTTTGTTCCTGATTTACAGCATCTGCAGTTCTTTCGGTTTTTAAGAGTCTTCTAGCCTTAGATTCCTGCTCCTAATCTAGACAGTCTGTATCCCAGTGTTAACAACAAGTTTTTTTTCCCCATATATTCTCAAAATGTTGTGGGTTAGATTCTTCCATCACTGGAAGCAGAGAAATTTAATAGTTTTCTAGTTTCTTACATTTCTCACAACTATAACCTACTGTCAATTTTATTGTTTTTCCATTTGTAATTCACTTTCAAAGATTCATAATGCCCAAATTTCCTCACACTAGAAAGTTTTACCATTCTCAGGTATTGATGGCCAATAAGTTGCACGGTCAATACTGCTTTCTGTTCTGATTTGTTTCACATAAATGGGAGCAGAAAACAGGTGCAGTGAGAAAAGACTCACTTTGCCAATTCTACTACAAAACTAATTTCAGTTCACTGGTTTGTAAGAGATTTGGGAAAATGTATGATTTCCTGTAGTCTCTCCTGTATGCTCCCTATTTGGCAATAGCTAGTTTTACTTCAATTGTTCTCTGCTTATTTTCTAACTTTTAATGGGATGCAGGCATCGCTGGCATTTTTTGTTCATCCTCAAATGCCCTTTAACTGAATCTCTATTAGGCCACTTCAGAGGGCAGCCAAGAGTCGACCAAATTGCTATGGATCTGGAGTCACATGTAGGTCAAACTAGGTAAGGACAGTAAAAAGGATATGAATGAACCAGATGGGTTTTCACAATGATAGCCTCAATAAAGATCATGAAATTAACTTTCATTTTAAGATTTTTTTGTCATTAATCATCATGGTGAGATTTGCACCCAGGTCCCAAAGAATTATGAGTTCAGTGACATTTCCATCACCTCATCCAAACTTGTTATATACACAAAATAGAATGTGTTTCGTTTGATCTGTGACTTGCTAAAATAATTTAGGATTATCTGATTTACTAAAAACATGAGACTTGGATTTTTTCACCCAATTCCCTGCTATCTCACCTCATTTGACTTTAACAGAATCAAGCCTTTTCTTTAAAAGAAATTTTGGAAAAAAAATACTTGATTTCATTTAGCTTTATTGTTCACTTATTTTCTTCTTAGTTGGAGTCATTACTTAAAGTAATGACAGGCTCATTTAGGGAAACAGATCTTTTTAAAAAAAACTCCATTCACTCTTAAAATTTTAAGGTGCCCCAAGTATAACATTAACATGTCTGTCTGTGGATAATCCTGGAATTTATGTCCGAACATAGATACTGTAATCATTTGTTTTTAAAAAAAATCTCATTTAACTAGTTACTGAAATACTCCAAACTTTAAAAATAAAGAAATCAGATCATACGGATGAAATAGGCCACTTCATCAAGGTCAACTGCAAAGTCCGTTAGCAAATTTGGTGTCTTATCAAAAAGGTCTCCATTGAAACTTTGCCATTTACCATCAGGAAGGTAGATATCTCTCGCCTCTTTACCTTTTTCTAGAATGGGGGCTACCATAAGATAATCCCCAATGAGAAACTGTGTGTCTACCTTTTGTGCCACTTTGTCATCTGGAGCAATCCACCAGAGGGGCCTTATAATTGGATTACCTGTCTTTGTGGTTTCCTCTGCTAACCGAAGGATAAGGGGCACAACTAAACTTTCTCGAAGCTGTGTGAATTTATACGCAATTTTCAAAACCTCCTCATCATAAAGCCAAGGAGGAATAGAAAATTGCATAGCTGGAAGAAAAGCTGACAGTTCCAGCCAGCGAATATAAAGTTCACGGTCTGGAATCTCATCAGGGCTATCAGTTTTGTTTGGATAAACGTTTCCTCCAATCATATCAGGCAATATGAAGGGGTACCCTAAAATACCCATGGTGAGGACAGTTGGAATCAAAGACTTTAAACCAAGCTCATAACCCCAAACAGAATCGCGGTCAATCATACGAACAAAACAAGGGAGCATCTGTGTGTGATATCCTACTCTCACTTCAGCCAACATACAGTACGAAGCTGCAATTTTTGCATACAACTTACTAAACATGCTAGGATCAGACAGAGGCTTGTGAGTGCTAAACTTTGCAGGAAGGTAACTGGTCTCACCTGCATCAAATTTGAAAGACACAATCCCATACTTTGACCTTAAGTATTCCAATCTTTTCTGAAACCAATCTGTGGTTTCGGGATTGGTGAAGTCCAAAACTGCTGCAATACCATTCCACCACTCCACAAAGGCAGGAAATCTCCCATTGGGATCCATCACAAAATAAGAATTTTCTACACCCTTGATAAAACTGGGAGAATTATAATTAACAAAGGGATGCACCCATAATGTCACCTGGAATCCATCATCCCTGAGTTTTTGAAGCAGTTCTGAAGCATTTGGAAACTTCACTGGGTCAAAGTCAAATTCTCCATAGCTACTGGAGTATTGATCATCTATTTCAATATGACTGAAGTTGAATTGATACTTCTTGATTTTTTCTGCATAACGCAAAACTTTATCCTGGTTCACTTCAGTTTTAAACAGAGCCCATGTGGACCATTTAGGGTACCTGAACATAATTTCTGAAGGCGTAATCGCAGGCTTTCCGAAATGTTTTTTGGCCATGTATCTGTGGATAATTTTTAAATCAGAACCAATACAGACTTGATAACTTAGTTCTACAAATGGTTGTTGTCCTATGGGTGGTTGAAATGGAGAATCTTTGTAGCGAGCACGCAGGCAAAATGCTTCTTTGTCTGAGCTGTTCCAACCAACGTGCAGAGGGACTGAGTCATTAACTCGAACGGCCACAGATTTAGAGGAGACCCAATACCTTTCTAAAATTCCACCAAAGCCATCACGTATGGAGTACACATCGCCTGTTACATATGGCTTAGGATTCATTACACCTGAAATTTTGATAGGCCAATGCTGTGTGCTAGTTTCTGCACCTCCATACCAATGTCCATCTGCCCAATGCATGCAATGTTCAACAACAGAGTCCAATACGACTGTCTTCCATTCAATATTGTAGCAAGTTATGGTATCTTTGGGTTTAAAGGTTTTGATAAAGAAGTCCACCTTCTCTTCACCAGACTTTGTGCAGTTTACCTCACCTCCGGCTTCATCTTGAAAACATGATTCAAGGTCAATAGGAGCAGATTTGAAACCCATTTCAAATAAAACCATGTTAGCAGTATTCTTGATGAAAAATCCATTCTTGTAGAGCTCCAACTCTTCTATTTTGAAACTGTTTAATTTCTTCAATGATGCAGTGTAATAGCACCATGCAACTACTGCTGCAATTACCAGTAGCAAGCCCAGTAAAATAGTACATATCAATGGCTTAACTTCTTTGGATTGTCTCTCTCGAGCAGCAGGTAAGCTTCCTGGCACGACCTGGTACATTGCATCAACTTGTGAGTTTTCTCCCCGACGCTGTAGCTGATCTCGTCTGTAGCTATGAGGCATAAGGTTGTCATCAGGTACTCTTGTCTCTTTGGTGTTTTGTAGCAAACCCACAAATGGATTACTGCCGTATCACCAAATGGAGCCAGAAAGTATTCTGTAGGAATTCTAGATGACAGGGGAAATATAAACAAAAACTTTATTAATCCTTAGCCTGCTAAGTTACAGATTTCAATTACATATTCCAATGAATTTTCAACAGCCTAAAATTAAATCAGCTCCCAATCTATTTTTTTTGACAAGCAGATTAAAAAAAAACATCCAAATGGGAAACCTTATAGGTAAGTCGAGTAAACTAAATAGCATTACTGATCTGTTTCATTCTGTGCCTACCAAAGCTTTCACTAAACTTCATCTACCTTATCCTGGATTCAGGTCCCCAAACAGTTTGCTGCTTATTATAGATGCTATAATTACACATTCCTTCAATAATTGACCCTTGTATTACAAATGAAAGTGCAGCATTTTACTTGCACTGCATTCTATTGTTAATCAAACAGCAACCACAATTAATTACTGACTTTTCATATTTTAATTTTTAAAAACAGCAATAATTCATTGCTTACTTTGGAATAAAAAAAACTGCATTCCAGACATCATTGACGTATTCTGGTAATAAACTGTGTCGAAAATATTGAATGCCTTTGGTTAGGCAAGCAAAGGTGCCTGTAAATGTGAAAAGACAATTAAATAATGATATTCAACTAATAAAATTATTGTACACAGACGCCAACTGCATCATAAATCTAGTAATTAAATGTATTAATCAAGCAAAGGGGAAAATTGATACCATGCATACACCTTCCTTATCCTTGAATTGTCTGGATCAGGATGAGATTATAGGAGGCACGGTTTTTTTTTGCAGTTGACACCAAAATTGGTGGCAGAGTGGACAGTGAAGAAAGTTATCCAAAGATTACAAAAGAGAGCTTTATCAGTTAGGTCAAATGGGCTGAGGAGCGGCCAATGGAGTTTAAACTTGGATAAATGTGATGTATTGCATTTCGGCAAGAAAGGACTTCTACAATTACTGGTAGGGCCTTGGGTCGTATTGCAGAACAGAGACCCAAAGGGTTCAGGTACATAATTCTTCGAAATTTGCATCAGAGGTAGTCGGGTAGTTAAAAAGAGGTTCAGCAAGCTTGCCTTCATTGCTCAGACCTTTGCGTGTAGAGTTGGGATGACATGATGAGATTGTACAGGATGTTGATGAGGCCTCTTCTGGACTAATTCTGGTAGCCCTGTTATAGGGAGGATATTATTAAATTGGAGAGGGTCAGAAAAGATTTACCAAGACGTTGCTGGGAATGGAGGGTTTGAGATATAAAAATAGATTGGAAAGACTAGGTTCTTTTTTGAAAACTGGGAACGTAAGAGGTTGAGGGGTGACCTTGATGAGGTTTATAAAAACATGACACGTATGGATAAGGTGAGTTTGGGAACATGGTTGGTGTGGACTGGTTGGACTGAACAGTCATACAACATGGAAACAGATCTATGACGAGATGGATTTGGAACTGTGTGTAGGTGGGAAACTCCTCATGGAGGATTTCACCTTATTCCTGTGAAGCCGCAGTAGCCATAGAATACATGCCTGAACCAGTCAGAAAAGCACGGAATTCTAGGCGGTCTAAGATGTTGCACATGGGAGAGGTGTATGATGTAGCTTTCATCGGAATTGTCGGCAACTTGGATCCCTAATACCAGCATACTTAGGCAGAGTCACAGTCAAGTCATGAATTGATTAAAAACATGGAAAATATTTTTTCAAACTGTTCTGCAGCTTAATCCATGAAACTGTACCAATATTTGGGATAAAGTTTTCTTTGTTTGGTAAAGGACACAGTAACACAAAAATCAGAAGGTGATTTTGGCAAGTCATGTGGTGGATCACCACAAATATTACAATTTAAGTCAGCTAGCCAGGTCCAGACCATTTTGAATCATCATTACTCGAGGTGTTGGTCATTGTAAACTGATCAGTGGTGGAACAACTTCAAAAAGAACTGCAAATTCACATTACAAGTTAACAGGGGGGAAAAAAAATCTCTATAAATAAATATGACAACTGGGAAAGAGGAACATACCTGAGGATTAGCCCCGTTACCGTTAAGAATTATTCTGTTCCAAAAAATTATGCTATCTAGTTCACGCTACATGGTTCAATATAGTGAATTATTCAATGTATTATATAATTATAATGACTCACATATGCAAAAGTAATATCCATTTTGTGCAGTGATATACGATGAATCAAACGACTTGTGGGTTTGCTTTTAATGCTATTATTTCAAGGAGGAATTTGTTGTACTTGTGTAAACAGTGTCTAAACATCCATCTGACCTAGATATTGAGTGTGATCAATTTTAAAATCAAGATGACACACCAAATGAAAAAAAAATACAGCTGCCTCCTGGTATGAAAGCAGAACTGGTTGGTGAAGAAATCTTTGGGTGTGCAAGAGCAGAGTGACCTTGGATGTATAGGTGCACAGATCATTTAAGGTGGCAGGAAAGGTGGAGAGTGCAGTTAGTAACGCATAGTGTCCTTCACTTTGTTAATAGGGGCACAGAATACAACAGCAAGGTGGTGATGTTGAACTTATAAGATAGCTGTTAGACTTAAGCTGGAAGTTATAGTAGTGGGCATCACATCATAGGAAAGATGGAGAAATAGTGCAGAAGCGATTTACAAGAATCGTAACAGTTACGAGAAACAGTTATGAGCATAGGTCGTGGAGGTTAGGACTGTTCTCCTTGGAGAGAAGTGCTGAGAAGAGATTTGATAAAGGTTTCAAAATCATGAACAGGCTGGATAGAGTGAGTATATAGGAAGAAGCTGTTCCTGCTCTTTAAAAGGAACAAGAATGAGAGGGCATGCATTTAAAGTGATGTGCAAAAGCAGCACGGGTGATATAAGAAAAGAAAATTAGGGAGGGGTAGTCAACATGGCTTTGTTCATGGGAAATCGTGTCTCACTAACTTGATTGAGTTTTTGAAGAAGTATCGAAGAGGATTGATGAGGGCAGAGTGATGGACGTGATCCATATGGACTTCAGTAAGGCGTTTGACAACGTTCCTCATGGTAGACTACTTAGCGAGGTTTAATCACATGGAATACGGGGGGAATGAGCCATGTAGATACAGGAACTGGCTCAAAGACAGAAGACAGAGGATGGTGGTGAAGGGTTGCTTTTCAGACTGGAGGCCTGTGACCAGCGGTGTGCCACAAGGATCAGTGCTGAGTCCACTGCTTTTTGTCATTTGTATAAGTGATCTGGATGTAAATATAGGAGGTATGGCTAGTAAGTTTGCAGATGACACCAAAATTTGAGATGTAGTGGAAGAAGGTTACCTCAGAGTACAACGGGATCTGATCAATGGGCTGAAGAGTGGCAGATGGAGTTTAATCCAGATAAATGTAAGGTGCTGCATTTTGGAAAAAGGCAAATCAGAGCAGGACTTATACACTTAATGGTAAGGTTCTGGGAGTGATGCTGAACAGACACCTTGCAGTGCAGGTTCATAGTTCCATGAAAGTGGATTCACAGGTAGATAGAATAGTGAAGGAGACAGTTTGGCATGCTTGCCTTTATTGGTCAGTGCATTGACGAGAGGAGTTGGGAGGGCATGTTGCAGCTGTACAGGACATTGGGATGTGGGGGTCGCTGGCTGGCCAACATTTCTTGCCTATTCCTGGTTGGATTATTGCGTGCAATTCTGGTCTCCCTGCTATGGGAAGGATGTTGTGAAGGGGTCAGAAAAGATTTACGAGGATGCTACCAGGTATGGAAGGTTTGAGCTGTAGAGAAAGGTTGAACAGGCTAGGGCTATTTTCCCTGGAGTGGAAGCTGAGGTGTAACCTTTACAGAGGTTTAGAAAATCATGAAGGGCATGAATAGGCCCTCATGAACAGGCAAAGTCTTTTCCCTGGGGTGGGAGAGTCCAAAACTAGAGGGCATAGGTTTAAGGCGAGAGGGGCAACTTTTTCACGCAGACGGCGCTGCAGGAATGGAATAAGCTGCCAGAGGAAGAGGTGGAGGCTATATTTAAAAAGCATCTGGATGGGTTTATGAATAGGAAGGGTTTAGAGGAACATGGTCCAAATGCTGGCAAGTGGGACTAGATTTGTATAGGTTATCTGGTCAACATTGACAAGTTGGACCAAAGGGTCTGTTTCCGTGCTACATATCTCTGATTCTAAATAGTTGGAGTATGGAATGCACTCCCAGGAAATGTTGTGGCAGCAAATTGTATTAAGTCATTCAAGAGGGCATGGAATGATTATTTGAAGAAATAGGGAGCAAGCTATGGGGAAATATAAAGAGATTGGCATTAGGTAATGAAGCTCATTTGAAAAGCTAATGCAGACGTCATGGGCCAAATTGTAACAATTCTGTGATTCTGATCTATAGAAGAAATTCCAATACATCCATTCTGTTATCCTGCTAAAATGGGCTGCAGTATAGAATCAAAGCCAAATGTTCCCTGCAAGTGACTGTCATGAACAGATAAGCGTAGATACAAATACATGGCAGACGCTTCCATCTTCACACATTTCTGCTGAATAACACTGCAGTCTCCATTCAGCATCTTCAAAAACAAAGCATTTGAGGTCACAAGTGAAGCAGGTATTGAACCTATATTAATTTCTGCAAGATATCAAATGTTAATTATGCCCATTTGAAATGGACATCAATGACAAACATACTGTTATTCATGGGAAGAATTAAGACTACTTAGGTAAATGTATACTGTGTATTTTGTTATTTCTCATATGCCACTTCAACCTTTGTGCCTCAAGCACATTTCTGATACCACAGGTTTCTCCAATATGAAAATGCCTATCTTGACAGGCCTAAAAGAGAGAGACATTTACTGAGCAATGTCAGGCAGCCTGGTTTGCAAGAGAGTCGTTCAATTTCCACAATAGATTCGCACACATCCATGGATATCAATTTACACTGATAACAATTACTTGTATTTGTAAAACGCCTTGAATATAATAAAATATCTCAAGGCACCACACTGAACCAGTAATAGAAAACTGACCCTACACTTCTCAATAACTCTTAGAAACTAACACACTCATTTCCACTCACCTGTGTCTAATAGGTTGTGGCTAAGAATGAGACAGAACCCAGAGATTGGGAATGCACATGCACACACCCTCACCCTCCCTTCCAATAAAGCTATCCATATACCAGAGTGAGAGGAAACAAAAACAAGGCTGAAAGACAACCTGCCTTTGACCTCCATTTCTGCATGAATACCATCCTCGAAGACAGCTTAAAGTGTGCATCAGAAGTTGAATAAAAGGCTAGCACAGTTAAATTCAATTCTTTAGTCAGCTCCGATCCCCTCCCCATGACCAGTGATCAGAACTAATCTGTCTCCAAATCTAAAACAAGTCAAAAAAAAAAAAAAATTGTTTAAACAAAGTTTTATTCGTTAGCTCGGCTGTTCAGCACAATTCATTCATCGGTCGCCCTTATTAACTAATTTTTTTTTAAAAACAATGACGAATTAGGATAAGAGCACATTTTTGGAGTTAACATGGGTAGAAGATTGGTCAATAGAAGGCACAGTGTTTGGATAAGAGGGATTTTTTCAGGGTGGAAACCTCAAACTTGTGGAATGCCACAGGGATCAGTGCTGAAGCCACAA